AACTAGAGGATGAAGCAGCTCAGCACCACGGGGGAGGGATAAAGAGCACAGTGCCTGAGGTTCTACCTAACTTCTCTAAAAGAACAAACTACTTTTATCAGAGACCACTGCTCCAAAACTAAAAGACTTTTTGTAATAGTGCAAATACATTCAATAGGCTAAAATTTTTAAAGAAACACAGTTGCAGCCCTGATTAAAAAGTTACATGTCCTGGGCTTCCCTGGTGGCGCAGTGGTTGAGAGTACGCCTGCCAATGCAGGGGACGCGGGTTCGTGCCCCGGTCCGGGAAGATCCCACATGCTGCGGAGCGGCTGGGCCCGTGAGCCATGGCAGCTGAGCCTGCGCGTCCGGAGCCTGTGCTCCGCAACGGGAGAGGCCACAACAGTGAGAGGCCCGCGTACCGCAAAAAAAAAATAAAAAATAAAAAAATAAAACTATAAAAAAAAAAAAAGTTACATGTCCTGTCAAATCTACTAAGTACTAAGCACCCAACTCTATGGTCATCCCTGTACTTACTACATAATTAGCATACTCAGGCAAGATTACAATACTATAATTCCTGAAAAGGATACCACACTTTCAGACTGCAGAAGTGATGAATGCAAATAAAAGACACAAAGAATAATAAGTGCTTATAAGAAACAAACCTATTTTTGCACTGTGAATTTGTTTTTTATGCCAGTTTCTTTTGCCCAGGCACGAGATGCATCCCCACAAGAAATCTAATAACTGTCCAGGAATCTCAAGCCAAATAAACAGCAAACATTATAAAGAAAGAATATCATCTTATGACAATATAATAGCATATTTATCAAAGGAAAATCTGATTTTCAATAACAAGCATATTCAGCCAGTAACATGCAGATATTTAAATGTAAATAATCAAATATAAAATATAGGGTTTAAGTGAATTAGATGATTCCAATTCTCTGCATGCAACTTAATTTTTTTTTTTTTTTTTGCGGTATGCGGGCCTCTCACTAATGTGGCCTCTCCCCCTGCGGAGCACAGGCTCCGGACGCGCAGGCTCAGCGGCCATGGTTCACGGGCCCAGCCGCTCCGCAGCATGTGGGATCCTCCCAGACCGGGGCACGAACCCGTGTCCCCTGCATCGGCAGGCGGACTCTCAACCACTGCGCCACCAGGGAAGCCCGCAACTTAATTTTTGCCATACCACTACCAGCAAAATCCTAAAGAACAAAGCATTAACTTCATTTTGTATAACAATGTTTTCTCAAGATCTGCTAAGGGGAACTATCAAGAAATGGATAGGGCTTCCCTAGTGGCGCAGTGGTTGAGAGTCGGCCTGCCGATGCAGGGGATACGGGTTCGTGCCCTGGTCTAGGAAGATCCCACGTGCCGCGGAGCGGCTGGGTCCGTGAGCCATGGCCACTGAGCCTGCGCGTCCGGAGCCTGTGCTCCGCAACGGGAGAGGCCACAACAGTGAGAGGCCCGCGTACCGCAAAAAAAAAAAAAGAAATGGATAGACACAGATAGCACAGGAGTAGATCATTCAATAACTTACAAAACTAAATTATAACGTTTAATTCCTTTTACCACAAAACAGTTATATTAAAATTCCTTGAAGATCTTTGAAAAGGGTACATTAATATTTGAAAAATAATCAAATATCTTAAACACCCTTGAAAAAAGTAGCTAAAATGATGTTTTCCAAACATCATTGTAATGACAGAAGTCACCATTTAGTGAATATTTATCTGCTAAGTATTTTACATACATTATCTCATTTAATCTTCTAAAATAAGCATCACATCCCCACTTTATATATGTGAAAATTAAGACATATGTTTAAGTTACATACTCTGGGTGTCATAGCTAGTAAATGGAGGTGGGAATTGAATTCAGTTTTATGAGACTCCAAAAGCAGTACTCTTATGCATTATCCCAGTGATTCCCAACTTTGGTCACATAATGTCGCATGCTGAAAATGGTAATACTTGTAAAGCTTACTGAGGTAAGCTGGAGGGACTTGGTGAAAATAATACATATTTTCTTTATATTATAAAATTACGACATGAAAAATAAAATACAAAATATTACAGATGATATTAAATACTAATTGGTATAAACCTTCCAAATCAAATATTTTCAATTGCCAAATTCAGAGTTTACTGATGGAATCATACCAAAAATGTTCAAATATCATTCCAACTGCTGTAAAATTTTGAAAAGTTAATCATAAAATGATTTAAAAATCATAAAATCATAAAAATGATTTAAAATTTCAAAACCATAAAACATTTGCAAACAGCACACTGTATGCCTTCCTATGCACTACACTCTGGTTAGGAAGCCCTGCATAACATAATTTCGTTTTTCTGTAGAATATTATGATTAAACACTAATTTGGTATATCAAGAGCTTCTCAATAACACATCTAAAAGAAATTTAAACCAAAGGTAACCAAAGAATTATAATACTGCATTCTTCCTTAACTAATCTGAATTTCTATAGTACCTTTAATCTGTAACATTCATTTTGATATAATAATAACAATGGTGGCTAATATTCATTACACTAATATTTTGTGCCAGACTGTTCTACTTCACAATATCATATTTAATCCTCAGAGCAATCCTATGAAGTACCTCTGTTTTTTCCATTTTAAAGATGAGGAAACTGAGGCAGAGAGAAATTGAGTAAACAACTTTCCAAGGATATAGTTGGTAATTGGAAATTAGAATTTGAAACAGTCTGACTTCAGAGCCCATGTTGTTAATCACTATGCTAAATTACATCCCCGCAAGGAAGGAAATACAGTAATATTTAAAGAACACCTATTATGTGCCAGGAAACCCAAAAGTAAGTAAATAGATCTCAACTTAGACCAAGTTTGATAGTTTTACAGTGATGAAGTAAAAATGACTTGCATGTACATCAAAGGAGGTATTCTACAGCAAAAAGAAAATTATTTGTATACAGTGATGGGTGCATTTTGCTTACAGAAATAGCAAGGAAAATAACTTTAATTTCATAAGTGTGCTATGTTATGGTTCAAGCAAGAACATCTCCCTCTGCCACCTATTTGAATTTGTTGATTTAACTTGCTCAAGAATATTAAAAAATCTTACTTAAAACAATGAAATTGATGAAAAGTAAAAGCAAATGTTTTTACTTACTGCTTTTGAAGTTCCCTAAGTGATCATGTGTTTAATTTTGTTTTTAATTAAATGCACTATTTACAAAGTCCTGTATCACAATAGGCTAATGTCCTGAGGGGATCTCTAATGATGAATGTAAATCAAAATAACCACAGAAGATGAAAATACACCTTTACTTTCATAACTAATTGATCAACAGAGACAATGCTAATGCCTTGAGTATTACGGTTTATATCAAACATCTGAAAGGCCCCAAGGAGCAATGTCCAACATTAGCTGGCACATGCTGGTTAACAGTATATATTTAAGAAGCACCTACTATGTACCAGTGACCACGCTCATTCACAAATGATACTGTTATATGGAGAGTGGCAGTCTGGAATTTCAATTTTATTTCATATGTTCTGTAAGATCGGGTATTCAAACTGAAAGCTCAAACTCCAATGCATAACTTTCCCTCTTTATCCAAAAAGCTGTTACCAGGGCTTCTGCAATCTACAAACCATCAAACATGTTAACATGAAAAGACTAGCATGGCCACGCAGAACACCCTGGAGTACAAAATAAACCCTGGGTTATGGTGGTGCATTGTGTCCTCTGGAGCTTTACACCATAAAAATTTGGCACTTCTCCTAAAGCAACTTCTTTTTCCCAAAAATCACTTGTTTTAAAAAGTAAACTTCTATTGCTTACAGAAACCATTACTTTTATTTAGTCTTCCCTAACAGATCCCTAGAAAATACTAAAGGTGAAGAAATGTGGCTTGATCTTTTGGTAAGCTGATGCCAAGGTACTTTATGTGATTTACTAAGCCTCTAGAAACCAGTCTCTCAAAAATTCTAAAACTAACCTTGCTGAGTAAAATGCATCTGACTGTATGTACATAAAAGCTACTTAAAACAAATGTCAGATAAAAGTAATTCCTGAAGCCTATATTTAAAAAAAAAAAAAGAACAGCTCACCAGAAATCTGTCACTGTCACACCTTTTACAGTAAATATGTCCAATATTTATCTTATCCTAAGATAACTGCAGTCCCACTGCACATCATCCCTAGCAACTATTCAGCAACTCCCACTGTGTCATCTATTATCATCACATCTTATGCCACAAACCTCAAACCAGCAAGTCCTTAAATCTCCTCAGCTCACACAACCTCCCACTTTATAAAAACAAGGAAAGGAGTTATAAAACCTTAAGAGAATAAAAATAATAGAAAAAGGTGGATAAGTACACACAGCTTCTGCACCCAAACTCTTTTCCTCTATACCTGAGAACTTGTCATTTATCTCAACCACACACCTTCCTCTTCCTGGATAACCCAGAGTTCCTCCACCTTACCGATAGTTCAAAATGCCCACTCTCCAATAAATGACAAGGTCCTATGTGACCACTCTGTCCCTGCCCCCCTCTCTATTTATATTAATTATTCAAGCCTCCTAACTCTAACCTGTCATAAAATACCACCACGCTCGAAACTCACAAGCCATTATACAAGCCCAACACACTCTTCCCGTCCTCGCTACCAACTCACTCCAACCCCTCCCTTGCAAAACCTTCCCTAACATCAGCTCTTCCTTTATGAGCTTTTCCCATATTCCTAATACAGTCTCAATGTCCTACTGGACCACACTTCCAAGCTCTCTTCGCTGAACCCAATTCCAGCATGGCCTAATTCCTACCACCCCAAAACCCCACCCCCTCATCACGCCCTCCGGCCTCAGCCACCCACCCCCCACACCCCGCCCCACGTCCGTCACGCCCTCCAGATTCTTTGGGGTTCCTCTCCTCCGGCCCGGCCTGACCCCCACCCCGCCCAGGACTCCCAAGTGCCTGGGCCCTCGGGAACACCCCGCCAGCCCCGCCCCCAGCCCCTCACCGAGTAGCAGCAGCTTCACTTCTTTGGCCGCTTTCTCCCCGTCCTCCCGCAAGTTGCGGTCGATCATCTTGCTTCGCTCCACCGCCGCCTTGTCTTCGGCGCTCAACGTGCAGCCCATGGCGGCGGAGGGAGAGGGGACCAGGCCCGGGCTCACTCACACACCGGAGACCGCGGCTGGGCCGGCGGAGACAGCGTCTACTCTTGGGCGGCGGCCCTCTCCGTCAGCTCCCTGAGCGCCCAGAGAAACCGGATATCCGGCGTTTACGACACTTCCGGCAACGCCCGCGGCCGTTACTTCTCGGCCCTGTCTAGCTAGGGTAAAGGAGGAACAACCAGGAGCAGGAGAACGAAGAGAGGAACGAGCAAGTCAAGCGGCCGTTCCGTGGTGTAGGGCTGCCCTGTCGAGCTCGCCGGGCGCCCACGACGTTAGTCCCCTTTCACCTTTTCGGCTCCCTTATTTGGATAAGTGTAGAAAAACCAGGGACTGGCTTCTCCGGCTCAAGACACCCTCCCGAGGTCACACAGGCGGCTTCAGATTGACGTGGGGGATGGGAATTCCCAAATAAAAGGCCGCAGCCCACACGGAAATCTCTGCTGGGAATTTCTCACTGGCCAGAAAACCCAGTTGGACTCTGGCAGTGGAGATCCGGGGCCTCTGCCCAAGTGTAGGACACTTTCTCGGCCGGAGTTGTCTCAGCCAGATCTATAGGATGAGAATTACAGAGTCTGGGCCCTGGCCACGCTCCACATCTGAAATTAGTAAGACCGACCATGCCTGGGACTTTATCGATCCCTTTCTGCCCTCTCCTCTGGCCCACCGCCTCCTGCTCTCAAAATGTACCCAGTGAACTTGAGAGTTGCCCAGCTCCTACGTTGGTAAAGGGTCACTTGAAATCGCTAACAGATCTTACTTTACTTAAAAGGTAAGAGTGTAGTTTCTCCATAAAACTTCCATGCTGTCTTTCCCCAACATAAGCCAGTTTTAGCGCTCACATATCGTCCTGCGATAAGGGCTTAGGACTTCTACCAGGATTAGTCAACCAAAGTTCCACACCCTAAAACAAACCAGTGCATCCTGTGAATCTTCTATTAAAATTACCTGTTGTACCACATGAAAAGGGAAGTTCTGGTAAAATTTGCCTCTCAGCCATAGCATCACCTGAAAGTTGATAAATCCCCTATAAAAGCCCCAGACTGATAGCCTTTTTACTCATAATCCTGGATACTACGGTGAAAGTAGCGCTAAATTACCTTTACTTCCAAATAGCCCCACAAATACTCTCACCATATATTCTAGGGAGGGGAACTCTTGTAGCCCCCAAAACCTTTCCCTA